TTCCAGCCATTGCCTCACTTAACTGGAGACCAACTTCTGTCTCATTCCTGATTGGGGTATATCCAGGCTGAAAAGTTCCTTTCCTTTATTCTGCTATTGCATTTCTCCTTAGAGATAGTACACAATGCAATTGCTGCAGTTGTGTATAACCACAGAGTTCTTAGCAAGTAGCATATTTTATTCTTAAGGAAAAAGCACTGCAGAGAAAATGTTAAAAAGAACATACACACAGGCTAATAAGCTTACTAGAGATCACACCAACTGCAACATGGGCCAGACGAGAGCAATCCTTCAAATACTGTTCATCACACTCTTTGCATCAAACAAGAACATTTATGAGCAGGAGTGACTTATTGATCTAGTTCGGCTTTTTGGAGAGACCATGATCAGCCAGATCAGCAGTTTCAAAATGGTGGACTTAAGGAGGGTCATTTGCATTTCCTGGGCAATCTATTTCATGTGTATTGCCCCCAAAAGTCCTTTGAAGTTCCTAATATTTCACTGAGATTGTTTTAACCCTACTATCTCTAAAATAAATTCTATACAATGCTATAAATGTTCAGTAAAATGGGGTGTGGGTACTGGAATGCAAGCTAAATATGGATTATGCTGGATGGCAGTGTCGATGTGTTGGCTATCTAGCTGCTCTGCAGCTGAAGAGTCAAGAGTTGCTATGCCTCTGAGAGTCTAAGTTTGGCACGAAAATCCAAGTTTGGCATATCCAGGAGTGGCGACTGGGCCATGATGGCTGGGTTCACTGTAGATTGCCAGGCATGCCCCAAATCATCTCCAACATACCCTTTAAGCAGCTGAAGGAGGCTTAGCCTGGTGTCTGCCCCAAATGTAAATAGTCGGTATGCCAGTTTTCAAGAGCTTAGGATACGTGTATTGTGAATCATCCATTGGACATATCCATCGGAATTTGGATCTTTAACAAATGAAAATTGGTCTAAGCTTTTGATATCTAATGGCAGTACTAGAATCTTGGCAGTTAATGGTTCATACTAATATACATACAAGTCATTGAGTTTAGAGCACAAATAAAATGACTCTTTAAATATAGTTGATTTAAATACTAATTGAATGTGTTTGAAACTGGTTTAAATTACATTTGGACAGCCAAAGCAGAATTTCTAAAAACTTTACAGTGTAAATCAGAGTTACTTTTAGGAAATTAGTGACCCCATACATATTTAAAAATTCTCTCTTTTAAAACCCAGATATAGGAAAATAAAGCAATTTAATATTAAAGGATAATCAATACCATATTTCTGAAACTGTCTAAATATTAAGCTTTTTCTTTAGCAATTACTTTTTCTACTTGTTTTATTTATATTTTAAAAAGCAATTTCCTCTGTGTTACTAGAATTGGTGGCTTTTCATGCATTTTACCATAATAATTAGTTAGGACTGAAAATAGATATTTTAAGTAGTTCTGTTAAAATAAAATTGTGATCTGATTATGTAACCAATAGACATGAATTTTTCTGTATTTGGAATGAGTCTAGAATATTCAGGGCACTACCACAATTTAAATGATAAGCAAGAGTTGCATGAAAATGTTTCATGAGAAATAGATGAGTCCAGATTTTCCCTTTTCCTCAAAAGGTGTTAAAGCACCTTAACTCAGCACTGATAAAGAGAAAAATCATGCTGTATATTCTATCACATAGCTAGAAATAACTGCTATGTACTTATACTTCTACATTATAAAGTGAAATATAAAGTGAAAAGCAGCAGGCAAGTAAAATTACTTTGTTTTAAAATTGAATGCACCTTTTAAAGTTTTAATGTTAAAGCGAATACATCACTGTTTATCAATCTGGTATATTTAAAAAAAATCTTCTTTGCTATAAACACCTCCTGACTAAAAAAACAACAAAGCAATGAAGCAATTAAGTAGTACTGCCAACATAAAGAGAAGGCAACATTAATTTCATGTGTAAATGTTAAAGTCTCTTTGTAAGACTTTATACTATTTTTGAAATTTGTTTTGCATCCAAATTCTCTGTTTCACAGTACTGAGGTGTGAAAAGAAACCTTAGATAATTCTTGTTTCAAGAGGCAATGAATAGCTTCACTTGAACTATTCATTCTGTCAGCCAGATACAGTGATTTTCTATTTTATATACTGTAGTAGAAAACAAAAAGATATCACAGCTTGAGTCGTGAGACAGACAAGTGCATTGTGGCATGCAAAAAGAAGGTTGTTATTTATCTTGATGCATGTTAATTTTCCTAACACAGGGCTCAGGCAGATAGGAACTGGAGGATCTCCAGTCATTATGGGACTGGCTCCAGCAAGGGCCAAAAATCACGAGTTACAATGAAAGAGGTAAGAACACTGATGCTTTGTGGCCTGGCATCTCTAACATTCTGAAACGCTACACTCTGGCAGAAAAAGTATAAAATGTTTATTGCAAGAAGGTATAGTTCCCTCTATGAGGCTCTTGAAATGCTGCCTAGAACACTTAGATTTATCTTATAGATTGCAGGGCTTGCTTACCATTGTTGTGGTGGCAGAGGAAGCCTGCTAGAGGAATGAACTTCTATGAAAACTTGCTGGTGCAGTGACTAAGCTAAGAAGAAGAAGAAGAGTGGAGCTGCAAGCTGAAAAAGTCAATATGGAATGACACCAACAACTTATGAAACCAAGTGGTGAGAAGCAACTTAACTGCAGTGCGTAAATTGTGCCAGAATACTCTAGAATGCCATTCCAGTACTTCTTAAGAAACCAGTATGGCATATTGGTACATCTGCGGGTCCCAGGGCAGACTTGTTTTCCTGCCTGGCTTCAGAGTTCCAAGTTGGGAGGTGCCAGGCAACACAGTGAAGGGCACTCAGTGGCAGATCAGTAAAGACACAACTGGGAAAACTACAGCCAGAAACAGGCAGAGAAACATAGAGGCAGGATCTAGGACCAGTCACTGCCAGGTGACATTGGGAGCCAAATAATAGAGGTCACCTGGATAATACAGACCCCCCCTCTATAGGATTTTGATCAGGTGTCTGGTTTTTGACCAGAATGCCCAGTCAAAAAAGGACCATGGAAGCTCTGGTCAGCACTATTGGCTGGACCGTTAAAAATCCAGAGAGCTGTGTGGCAAGACTAAGGCAGGCTAGTCCCCACTTGTTCTGGCACTGAGCTGTGCCTTGGAAGCAGCCAGTAGGTCCAGTTCCTAGGTGGGGGGAGGGCATTCAGAAAGCTCATTGTACTGCTCCTGTGCCAATGAGTGGTTCCACACTTCCATTGGCCAGGATCCAGCAAATGGGAGCTGGGTTATGCTGCCTGTGAGACAGAACAGCACGTAGAGCTTCCTAACAGTCCTTTCCCCACCTACGTGTGGTCTAGCCACTTCTGGGGCATAATGGTGAGCCAGGACAGGCAGGGAGCCTGCTGCACAGGCTGATTGGGAGGTGCCCTGAGGTAAGCCCACACCCAAATCCCAAGCTCCTTCTCCCACTTTAGACTTCCTCCCCAAACCTGAGACCCTCTTGCACCCCAATCCCGTATTCCAGCCCAATGAAAGTTAGTGAGGTTAGAGACAGAAAGTCTCCAAGTGAGAAGGAATGTAGTGAGTAGTGGGCAGGGCCTCAGAGAAGGGTGGAGAAGAGGACATGGCCTAGGTGGAGGACCAGGGTTTGGGTGGTTGGTTTTGTCTTATTACAAAGTTAGCAACTCTATAAGTGAGCAGGAGCAGGCCACAGGTAGGCAGGGATGTGATGGAATGGAACAGAAGGGGAGTTGCTCCCTCCTCTTTTGTTTCTCTCCTAGCTTTCCCAGTGCCCTATCTTCCTCAGTTCTTCCCATCATTCCCTGTTCCCTTCTGCTCACTCCTGAGGGATTCCACTGCCCTGCATTCTAACTCTAGCACTGCTGAACTTCCTTCTAGTTCCACCATTAGAGGCATAATTTCTAGTGGCCTGATTTGAAGGTCAGGGCTCAGTCCTGGACCTCCAACAACAACTCTGGACTGCCTCCAAATTCCACAGGTGAGAAGCATTGCCTATTTGTTATGAATGAGGAGAGAAGTTGCAAATCAGCAATAAACTCTTGATTTGATCTTCAATTTGTACATTTCCGATACACTCCTCTTGCACAGCCACTGGGCCTACTTGCACAACCATGCAGCAGTCTTTGGAAAGAGTAAGACTATGATTCAACATCAGTGTGGATCCACTGACAAACCCCTCAAAATTTGGGAGGGAACAAAGTTTATTAGTTATGTTTACCAACCTCTAAGGTTCTGTATTCTGGGGGATTTCATTTTTTTTCCCCACCTCCCCCTGCCACCCAGGTGAGAACGATAATTTTGTTATAGTTTTCATTGAATAAGCATAATTTATGATAGAGAAATAGTTTAGAAAAATCAAGTGTTTATTGTTACATAAACTTCCATGAAGGTCTTTCTTGACCTAACTACTACTCAAGTTACTAAGAATCTTCCCTTTGACATTAATGGGAACTATAGTTGGCCGTTTATTGCCACTGGAATTGAAGATGTTAGTGCAATGTAAACAAGGATACCTCAAGTCAGGTGTCTAGTCCATAGAAAGGACTTTGGAGTTATAATTACATTTTATAATTTTGTTGCTATTTTTCTAAACTAGAAAACACATACATTCTCTTGAACATTTAACAAAGCTGAAATCAGAGACAAAATATTTTTCAAATTAGCAGACAATGCAAAGAGAAGAGAAAAGCAAATATCTGCTGATGATTTAAATATAGGAAACAAAGGAAAAATATAAAATAGTACTGTGCCAGGCAGATTGTTAGAGCTGGTAGTTAAATAGATACATAATATAAGACATGAGCTCCAGCATTCCTCAATAGTAAACAGCAACAACACTAGGTATCTGCTTAATCATATAGTAAATAAAGTGAAAATGCAATACCTGTTCCAAATTTCAGTGATATTCACTGTCAGAGCAATTTCATATAATAACATACTCTGTTTTAGCTTGCCTTTTTCTATCCATTGGTTTCTGAAGGATACTCAGCAGTAGAATGATGTGTGATTCTGCAACAAATTGAGCCTGACTGCTCCCATGTATGTAACTCTGCAAAATGAGAGTAAGAAACAAAAATAAATCATCATTATTATGGCTATGAAAAATGTCATGATTTAATATTTGTATGTGAATTAAAATAAAACCTGTCTTGCAAAACAATGTATAGTGTAGGGCCTGCAGAAGACATATACTTCTAAAGTTACATCTTAATAAATCATTGTTAAAAACAAATCATCTGAAAAGCACAGCGAATGCAAAGTCCACCTCTTATAAAAACTGCAACGCTTGATTGACCATCCATGAATCAGAAACTCCACATATTTTAAAAATTAATTTACAAGCTTCCTCCACCTGAGTAATTCTAATTCTTCATTCCATTGGGATTTACATGATGGAGGGATGAGTAATAGCACTTAGCAATTACTAGAACTGACCCACAAGAGAGAGTGTGTCCATCTACTTTGAAGCTCACTTGTTAATTGGGAAAGGGATGGGTTCAGGAATGAATCTGAACATGGCTTTAATGGAAATTAAAATTTCAAGTCAAAACAGGAAACTTGAGAAAGGAATTTAAAACACCATTTCACAGGCTACAAAATTTATAGACTCTGAAACCCACTGGAAATACTGCCAGTTCTATACCTCCTTATTACAAGATATTTTAGTTTTGCCACATGGCTGACCTCACATACACAACCATCTACACTCACCTCTCAGAAACACTAAAGTACCGCACATCCCTTCAGTTATACTGTCTCACCTGAAAATATTGTGTCCACAAATGCATTAGCTTACGCAAAATAATTTTACTGAAACACTGAAAAAAAAACCTATAAACTTTACCAGTGTTAGAGAGGGCACCATTTTTAGCATACATTAATATTTATTAAATTAATAGGTAGCAGGTTTAAAACAAATAAAATGAAATTTTTGTTTATGAAGCACAGAGTCAACCTGTGGAACTCCTTACCAGAGGATGCTGTGAAGACCAGAACTTTAATAGGGTTCAAAAAAGAATTAATTAAATTGAGACCAGAACTTTAATAGGGTTCAAAAAAGAATTAATTGAATTGATGGAGGATAAATCCATCAATGTCTATTAGACAAGATGGGTAGGAGCGGTATCCCTAGCTCCTGTTTCTCAGAGGCTGGAATGGGCGAAAAGAGAGGGCTCATGTAATGATTAGCTGGTCTGTTCACTCTCTGGCATTGGGCACTGTTGGAAGAAAGCATACTGGGCTAGATGGACCTTTGGTCTGACCCATATGGCCATTCTTATGTTATTTAGTTGGTGAAGAGAGTGGGGGGAATTACCCTTAATGAAAAGGGCAGCTTGCACTTGTTCTCTTAAGGCATAGCAACTGGGGCCCATGCAATATAAATAACATTGACATGTGCTCCAATGTGGTCATGATACGTTCCCTTTGTTTTCAGCTTATTTATTTTAGTTCCCTCTCTACTTCTCAAAAATAAACCTTAAATCAATTCTAAAGATTAAAGGTTTCCATCAGTTTTTGTTTGCTCTAGTTAAGAGAAGTTTCTCTATACAATAAATAAAATAAGATACATGCATTAGATATGGAAAGACATTTCTAGAGCAAATCTACTCAACATTTGGTATTTTTTATATGCAGTCTAGTGAGGACTTGAAAAAATATTTTAAATCCACCAAATAGGCTATTTTGTGCCTTTTGAAAATGTTTAGTACATTTTCAGAACAAAACTAGCTATTGTTACAGGATTAAATATGAAACAAAGGATGAAGGATAGCAAAAAGATGCAAAAAGTGAAATCATCTTGTCCTATTACTTTTTGTAATAATTATATACTAAAAAAAAAAAATCACACGCATGTTTTTGAAGCACCAGATTGAAATTCTGGTTGCTCTGAAGTCAAAGGCAAGATACTGCTCATATTTTATAGTTTTCACTTAAAATTTTTTGAATACTATCAATTTTAGGACCAAAAATTATTCAAACTTAAGGAAAAAAAAAGGCTGCTGCCTCAGCCCACAAAAGTATCTTTAAACTATCAATTTTAGGACCAAAAATTATTCAAACGTAAGGAAAAAAAAAAGGCTGCTGCCCCAGCCCACAAAAGTATCTTTATTCAAACTGACTGATTATTGGCTATTATGATAAAGCTATTATGCTCTTATTATAAAGCTCAGGGCCCACACGATGCCATAAAATAATTGGAAAAACTTGAAAAATAACAAATAGTCTAGGAGCACCTTAAAGACTAACAAAACATGTAGATGGCATCATGGACTTTTGTGGATACAACCCACTTCTCCAAATTACTGGAGTATTAAAAGTCCAGATCCAAAAATATACCATCTACATGTTTTGTTAGTCTTTAAGGTGCTGCTAGACTATTTGTTGTTTAAGTTTTTCTAGTTACAGACTAACTAGGCTACCCCTCTGAACCTTATAAAATAACTGTTACTCATTCGATGGCTACCCGCTATTCCTTAACGATTATATCAGTTCAAATACTCCATTTTGATTTAGTTCTGTTAAGAAGTTCATATATAACAGTGATTTGCCACCAGCCAAGTAAAATCATTTTTTTAACAAAAGAAAATGATTGAGCTTTGAAGACTTAACCTCTATGATTTTATAGTAATGCATGACACAAGTCAATCTATATTCCACAGGTCTTTGACTAGCCAGTCTAGAAACTCTAACTAGTCAAAGACAGAGGAATGTCAAAGGAGGGTTGGCAATACTAATGTTTTTCAGTTAACTTAAAAACAATTAATAATTAAGTTGAATTAAACAAAATTGATTATTAAAACATCATTATTTGCTCTGCTGTGTTAAACAGCACAAAGATATTTGTAATACTCTTGACTTACATACTCACTGCTTCATATAATTATAGATACATACATACAATTATTCCTGCTCAGCTAATAGCTAATATCTAGTGCTAGCAGTGGCCTAACCAATCAATGGTCCACATTACTGTATGCAGCTATGGGAATAAAGGAAAACAGACAAAGGTACAGCAAATACATTTCTAATTTAAAAAACAAATAATCTGCAGTGAAGTTTGATTCACAGTTATGCTCCCAGTCCTGCAAACAACACTGAAGCACATCTTGAATCCTGCCATAAGTACAGGGACTGAACTAGATGACCTCCACAGTCCATTCCAGTCCTATAATTCTGTGCTCCTAGTGTGCCTTTATTCACTTGAGTATTCTTATCTAATTTAGTGGGATATCTCCTCTGATTTAAGCATTTGTAGGACCGGGGCTTAAATATGCACAATAATTGGTGAATGTCTCCCACTTCTCATTACATTTTTAGTACAGCATAGTAGACTATGACTTCATGATGTTTACCAAATATACTATAGTATATTTTCGAATTCACTATTAACTGGTTGGATCAAATCACTCAATCTAAATTCTCTCTCTCATACACTAATATTTTTGTTTCTAATAAGATTTCAATAAATACTCAGACACATAATAAAAACATTTATTTATTTTTTAAAAACATCAAGATGGGCCAATTACATATCTTAAGTTTCATTTTAAAAAAAATCCAGAAGCCCTTTTTATGTGTAAAAACACATGCATACCCTGCTTTGGCCCATCTCCGGGGGAGCTAAATGGCAAGGATAAAGGAACAGTGGCAATTCTAGAAAACACAGTCTTCAAGAGATAGTATTATCACCATTGTTTAGGAACACTGACTTGTTATAACATGAATACAGAGAAAAGAAATCCCTTCTGATATCAAGTATTTTAGATGTACAGAAGAGATTAGTCCCTATTGCATTAAAGCAATTAACATTGATTTTAACAATTATGAGCAATAAGAAATTATGATATCTCATGGAATCAATCCTAAATAAAATATTACACTACTGACTTTCCTTTCTGTATACCTTTAAGTAGCTGTTTATATCACTGCAACACCATTTTCTAGATTAAGATCTACAGTTTATTTCCATATTTTTATTGTACGTTGGTGATAACAAATCATTGTTGTTTCCATATTTTTATTGTACGTTGGTGATAAATCATTGTTATGATCACAGGGTATATCTAATTTGTTAATTCTAGCACTATATTTATTCTACAACTGGAGGATATTTTAAATAAAAGCAAACACTCATAGCAGCAAATGACTAGGGTTTTGTATGTTTTTTTAAAACCTCAACTTAAAAAAGGGTTCACTTAATGTATATTCAGTCTGATTAAGAAACTACCATCTCTCCAAATGATATAGCATACATGGAGGTCATTTGAAGCATCGGAGCTGCTTTCCCATCAATATAATTTGGAGAGAGTTAGGGAGAACTGTGAATTAGCTGTCCTTGGTTTTGGAACTGCCTTCCAACACTGGTCATTAAGTCCCAAATGTGGTGACATTTAGGGCATGCAAGTTATGACAGGTTTTCCTCAGGTAGCGGAGGAAGAATGATTATTGAGAGAGGAGAAAGGTAATGAGATAAACCATGCTGCTTGTTGGAAGGATTTAGAGTTCTGATTTTTAAAATAAGTTTGTGTGTTTTGTCAGTTTGTTGTTTACTATATGTAATATGCCTAGAACACTAAATAAAGGCAAATAACTCAATGAAATAAAAACAAATAAGTAAAATACTGGCTCTTAGATTCCAAAGTAATCAGTGACAAACACCTGAAAAACATATTTTAGTTAATTGCATTATCATAGATACAAACTATGAGATATTTAATTTTTAATAGAAATGATTATATGTCTGCAATAAACTCTACATATCATGAATTCAATTTGGGATGGTCACAAAAGGCAGCATAATTACATATTTATACTATACATCGCCCCCGTGCGAGGGGGGGGGGGGGGGGGGGGGAGGGCGAGGATATTTTTAAACAAAGAAGCAACAATACCACAATATCCACTTTCAAAAAATATCCATTAATGAAAGAGAAACCACTAGAACTGGGCTTGCAATTAACAAAAAACAGCTTAATATTTTAGAAAAACCTATCTGCAATGTTCTATATTAAAACATTTCAGAATTTCTATCTATAGAGACTTGAACAG